ATTCTAACAAGTGCATCAAATCTACTATTTCCCTATAACATAATCTAATTTGTGAACTAATTTCACCATAACTATAAATGACTATCAAGCTAAAGTTGATATTATTTTCTAGGGCAAAAAGTCCCAGTGGCCCTCAAACTATTAGCCGGACGAACTTTTGATCCCCAAATAATTAAAAGTAAACTTTTGGCCCCCAATCTATTCAAAGTACAAAATATTAGACCTTCTGTCAAATTCAGCAGTTGATATTGACGGAAACTATGACCACGTGAGACGCATGCCGAAATTTGAAGGGCATTTTTGTCCATAAATGAGCTGTGTTCCACTCGATAAAATGGAGTGAAAAATAATTTTGACCAAATCATTTACTTTTACCAATATCTCTTCCTCTACCATTGTTGGCGATTGCTGCAACTTCCCAACTATCAACACCGTGGAAGTAGACGGTGATGCAAAATGGAGTGGAGAGCAAAGAGTGACCAAAGGCCCAGGGACCAATCACTTGGAATTTCTGCTGTGTCGGGTGTGCGTGCAATCACACGTCTTTGAAGGAGTGATATAAACAATGTTGATTCGTGTTGCAGATGGGATCGGGATGAGCCTTCAAACCTCCTTTGTTCTCTTCATAGATTATTGCCCCTAAATTCTTTCAGATGAAATTGAGTGAGCTACCATCCACCCTTGAAACCCCTAACCTCACCCACCTTTCCCATTTATATTTTGGGTAGCTTAATTTCTCGAACATCCCAAACAAACAGTCAAACTACTTGTAATCAGTGGGTGGAAGGATTCCCTCTCCAGCATCATCTTGCCAAATTCTATTCTACAAAATATCAGTCAAACCCTATTTGCTCTTCGTCCGTATCGATCCAAAATATCATCTTGCATCCCAGCCCCTAACCCAATTTTAGCTGAATATTATCAACCTTTTTAGGCATTTCAGCAACTCCCAAAACTTGTTGATCTTTCACACTGGAATTGAATCAAACTTCCAGCTGAGATTGGAATTTCCATTGCAAAACAGTTTTATCGAGTATACTACAATAAAATATACTTTCTGATTTGGGTCTGTTGTGGGCTTCTTTCCATCTCTTCCATCGGAAAGATCGATCCCTTTTTCCCCACAGTTTTGATCCGGGCTGATCTCTGACTGCATTTGAGGTATGAATTTCCAAAGCGTGGAGGAGTTTTGGCTATTTTACATGAATCAACACTCGAAACCAGCCACTAGGTGTTGGCATTTTGTGGGCACGCTTTGTAGCATTATTTGCTTGATATATTCAATGCTTTTCAACTGATGGTTTGTGATCCTTGTGCCCTTGTTGGGATATGACTTGGCATGGTATAGCCAATTTTTTGTGGAAGGAAATGTTCCTGCAACTTTTGGGCATCATTTTTTGTCCCTTTTGTGTGATTTCAAGATGTTTAGATTGATGCTTACTGGTCAAATGGATAGAGAAATTAAGAGGCTCAGTAAGAGGCTAGTTCTGCAAGCTTACTAATCCTTTCGGATTTTCTATTTTACTCTTTTATTTCGATATGGTTCACAAAACCGCATGAATTTCCCGCTGCAATGGAGTTTTTCTTTGTTCAACTCTGTTCAGGAAGAAGGCCCATTTTACCGAGTGAAACACAGTTTATTGTGGACAAAAATGCCCTTCGTATTTCAGTGTGCGTCTCACGTGATTGTAGTTTCCGTTGGTATTAACTGCTAAATTTGACAGAAGGTCTAACATTTTATACTTTGGATAGATCGAGGGCCAAAAATTCACTTTTAATTGTTTGGGGATCAAAAGTTCATTTGGCTAATAGTTTGAGGGCCACTGGGACTTTTTGCCCTATTTTCTAAAACTTCCTAGATGACATAAAACATTCGAAACTTGAAGTTATAAATGAATATATTTTAACAAATTTACATTATAAATGACTATTTTATTCTTATTTTATAAATGTCTACGCATTTATGTTGTAAATGACTATTTTATTCTTATTTTAGTAAATAAAATAATAACTACTTATTATTTCTCTCAAGCTCAACTATGCTCGAACTCGAGATCAATGTTGAACTCTAGTTTTACAATGAAAACTCACGGAGCTCAGGATCGTGTTGGAAGTCGAGAAAATTGAGTCGATTCAACTCATTTTGCAATCCTATAAATGATAACCTTTTCATTAAATCTACATTTTTTAGTAAATTTAATATTAATATATGTAATCAAAAAATGAATGAAAAAAATTAAGTTTTGAACTAATCTATGTTAATCATATACCATGGTTTTGGACCAATGTGGTCATACAACTAACAAAACTAAACTTTTTATGCATTTACCCATGTTAAAGAAATAAATAATGTTTTCTCTGAAACCCGCTCCAACGAATACAAAATTTATGTGTTGGAATACATTGGCCATGACAATTAAATTTTACTTTTTTGGACTAATTTACCCCTATTATAGATAGAATTAATAGTAAATTTGCCAAAAAGCAATTTTGGTCTATAAATAAGTAAATACATCCCATCCTATTCCCGACGAAACACAAGAAACTTGGTTTTTCTGTTAAACTAAACATCTAATGTAAAACTAACCAAACACTTGACAACAAGATTACTCATTCGAAGATAAGTAACCACCTCTCATTTCATGAAGAGTTCGTTTGGTCCCTTAGATCATATGATAACTTGAGGTTATTTACTTCTATTACTATAATGACATTTTATTCTAACAACTACAACGACTCTATTATTTCCCTATAATATAATCTAATTTATAAACTAATTTGACCATGACTATAAATGACTATCAAGTTAAAGTTGATGTTATTTTCTAAAACTTCCTAGGTGGCATAAAACATTCGAAACTCGAAGTTATAAATGAATATATTTAACAAATTGATGTTATAAATGACTATTTTATTCTTATTTAACAAATTGATGTTATAATATTTTCATATTATATTGAGCAACTAATACTCTTCTTTACTTTTCACCTGATGTCCTATTGCTGAGTTTTTAGTTGTATTAATTGACAAGTTTTAATTTGACTTCTCCTTCTATGTTTTATTAATTTCCACACCACTTGTACAATTTTGATACTAGACTATAGAGGCGTCCACCGTACCAAAGACCTAGACTTTATTATTATAGTATCCAAAACCGTCGACCCATAAAAGTGTCTTGGTTGTGGAAAATTGATCGATTGTTGCCTGTTCATACTAGACTTTACCGTGGCATCCAAAACCATGGGCACTTACTACCGGCCAATAAATTTCTGCCGACACGCAAACACAGCAATCAAGGCTGTGATTTTGAGAAGAATGCAACCCAAACCCGAAAACCAGTATCAATTCCGTCCAATTTGGATGTAATGGATAACAGCTCCGTGGCAACCACTAAGTCATTAAAAACTTGATGAGGTGAACCTTTGTCTTTCATCAATTGTCACATTAAATGATTTCTTAAAAAAATTCAGACGGATATATAGTGTATCTATTTGGTTCGATAGTGATTCAGTTTCGAGCGGTCTCCTCAGATCCAGTTGGATGTCCTACTTAAATTAGAATAGTATAGGATAGATAAGATAACGATTGGCAAAAAAAAAAAAAAAAAAAAAGATTACAGCCTCCGCCAATTTAAAAGGAAAAAAGATCGAAAATCAAAACCGGTATCAGTAATATTTTGAAAAACTACGGAGTTATTATTGAACTAAACTAACCAAATTTCAATTAAATTTTGTTAAATGAAACCTGCTAGGCTACTATACTACTTATTGCAATTTAAAAGTCCAAATTTATTTGAACTTGCAGAATTCAATATAGCGAAATCCCAATTCTATATAATTATTGCGCATTCATGAATGTAGATTTAGGAATGATGACGCTGAAAATTAAAAATTTTTTAATAATATTGCATAGGTATAAAGCAAAACTTGTTTGTTGAAGATAATTTCGTGGACCACACAAGTCGAAGGAGGGGTTTTTTTTTTCTTTTATGCTTTTGGGAGTCTTCTTTTAAAATTTGTTCTCTTTGGCTGTTTTTTTGCACTTAAAAATTCAGGTAGTAAGGTGTTATTGAATTAAAAATTTAGACAACTTTAAATTTTAAAAACTATTAGTTATACACACAAAAACAGCAAAATATCCACTATACTATTGTGTGACGTTCACTTGGGCCGTCCGCTTTCTGTGCATAAAAGTGTTACATTCAAATATCCACCTCAACCGCACCCTGAATCCATCACGAATTTACGATTCCACTTAAATGTTTCTTCAAAAAAAAAAAACTCTTCTTTTCTAATCATTTGTAAGTTTAGTTTTGAAAAAAAAAAAGAAAAAACTTATAACTGTGAATTAATACATGGGAAATTTAACTATTACACACTACTTACTTCATTCTTCATCCTTGTATACTTTGTTTGATTTCCTTATTTAATTCTTCTTCTTATTTAATTATTCTTCATCCATTTCACCGTCCCAAAAGACGCCGCCAGCTGCACCATTTTTTCTTTTTTGGAGGGCTACCAGATGTCCCTACCTTGTGAATCGAACTGCTTTCTTTTTGACCGAATCGAGGATCTCTTCCGAGGTCAGTTAAAAACAACAAAGATTAGAAGTTTTGCAGCTGCACCTAACAGGCCATAGGCAATAGCTTCTCCTCCTTTACTAGTTGTTGCAAGCAAAGCTCACTTTACCAGGATGGCTGACCCTGTTATCTCTTTTGTAATTGAGAGAACTGGCGATCTGCTGATTCAAAAAATTGTTTTCCTGAAAGGCGTTCGACGACAAGTTAAGAGACTTCAAAATGATCTGGTCCGGATGCGGTGTTTCCTGCAAGATGCTGATCAGAGGAAAGATGAAGATGCGAGGATCCGCAATTGGGTTTCTGAAATCAGAGCTGCGGCCGACGATGCGGAGGATATCATTGAGATCTTTGCCAACAAAGTTGAGTTCTTCACAAAGGACAAGGGACTCGTCACCAAATTGACATATTATCCCTTGAAATTATGAACCTCAACAAGGTAGGTAAAGAGATTGAATCCTTACGGATGAGGCTCAAGGAGATTGCTGAAAGCCGCCAAGAGTTTGGTATCAAAAATCTTGGAGAAGGGATGACTACACATGGAGAAGAGCTTCAACGGATCCGGCGATCCTCTCGTCTCAGCAAGGACAAGGATATAGTGGGCTTCGAGGAGATAACAAAATCCCTAGTGGAAGAACTTTTGAAAGAGGACGAAAACCGCCGTGTGGTTTCAATCATTGGCATGGGAGGTGCTGGTAAAACAACTCTAGCCAAAAAAGTTTATAACCATGCTGGCGTCAGGGGAACATTCAACTGCCGTGCTTGGGTGTGCGTCTCTTCAAGCTACAATCACAAAGAGAGGCTGAGGACAATCATAAAGCAATTAAATCCGATAACTAATGAGCTACTTGACATGTTGGAAAAGATGGACGAGCAGGACTTGGAAGAAAGGCTGTATAAAGATCTACAAGATGAGTGTTATCTTGTGGTACTTGATGATGTATGGGAGGAAGAAGCGTGGGATTGTCTTGCTAGGGCCTTTCCTGACGTTTGTACATCAAGTAGATTGCTGCTTACAAGTCGCAATAGGGATGTTGCCCAACACGCTGATGCTTATAGACACCCGTATGAGTTGAAAACTTTGGGGCAGGAAGACAGCTGGCAGTTGTTTCTCAAAAAGGCCTTGGGCCATGGAGCTAATGCTGGGTGTCCTCCCTATTTGGAAGAAGTAGGCAGAGAGATTGTAAGGAGATGTGCTGGTCTGCCACTGGCCATCACAGTTATAGCTGGGCTACTGGGCAAGAAAAAGTTGAAGAGTGAATGGGACAAAATTCTCAACAATTTCGGCACAAACCTATCAAGGGGCCAGAGTGGGGTATCAGCCATTCTGGATTTAAGTTATGCAGACCTTCCTCCCAATCTGAAATTTTGCTTTTTGTATTTGGGTTTGTTTCCCGAAGACTCCGTGATTTCTGTGCGCAAGTTGATCCATATGTGGGTTGCAGAGGGAATAATGCAAAAAAGAGATGCAAAAAATTTGGAGGAAACTGCAGCATATGATGATGTGGAACGACTTTGTAGCAGAAATATGGTCCAGGTGGCGGAAATGACTGTTGATGAGAGGATTAAAAGCTGCAGAGTCCATGATTTACTGCGAGAGCTTGCAATCAGAAAGGCAGAGGATGAAAATTTCTTTCAGATCCATGACACCAGAGATAATGAAATATCAGCCAAATCCAGGTACCTTGCTGTTCATGTTCTCCCTCTGGATGAAAATTATCTTGTGTCTTCGACCCCTCCTCTCCGGTCTCTACTTTTTTTCAATATCCGCCGTTACGGGAAAGGCATTAGTTTTAGCTCCAAAAGTTTCAGAAAGCTTAGGATACTAGACTTTGAGAATATTGGGATGGGTTATAATTTGCCAAAAGGAATTGGTGAAGTCAGGCTTTTAAGGTACCTCAATTTAAGAGGCACATTCATTACAAGACTCCCTCATTCCGTCGGTTGCTTGCGATACCTACAAACTCTTGACATACGGACCAAATTACGGGCACTTGGGATCCTCTGTGACACATTTTGAGTGCCAAACCAGTGCCACCTCTAATATTATGCCAAGTGTCATGTTATTATTTGTATTTTAATTTTTTAAAAATTCAAATTAATTTAATTTAACACAAATTAACTCTATCCTCTAACACTTTGAACCAAACCAACCAACCGGTCTGATTCCATTACCAATACTTTCGTTCAGCAACCACTCAAGATCTGATTGGCATGGGAAAAAGAAAAAGATACCCCTAAACAATTGCAAACAAGCAACCGTAGCCTAAAAGATACTTTCGTTCATCGTTGATTGCTTAGAACAATCAACCGTAGCCTAATAAGCGCAAAATAGCAGCCGCCGACTATTGAAGCAAATTGACTACAAAGATTCAGGAAGTACTCAATCAAGAACGCCCAACCATCCCTAGCTTTCTCCAGCAAAGAACGTTTCACATCATTCAGGTAATTATCCAACCTTGCATCCGATTTAAGTCTTGAGTTTTTTCAGCTTTGATTTATTAAATCAACATCACTATTTGTTCCATGATCTGGATTTCGAATTTCAATTTTTTTAATATTAAGAAAGTTAGGAAATAGACAACAACTCGTAAGTATTTTAACAACTCATAAGCAATATCACCCTACCTTATGTTATGCAATTTTATATCTTCATTTTCAATTTCCATTAAAGTGAAATTTACATTGAATTGTGAGTTTGGAAAGATTAAATATTAATTGAGTGGTCAAATTGACTACTTACACGCTAATTGTAATATACCTGGAAAATAAGTTACTTTGTGGGATTAAAAAATTATTTATTATTTCAAGAATTGTTATAAATTTTACTAATGTACCAAATTAAAAAAAAAGATACAAGAAGTAACAATAGCTTTTCTGACTAGTTGCAAGTAGTAGTAGTGAACAAGTAGAATTGGAAATTCAACTACTTTAATAAATTATTGAGGGACAAAATTTGCTTACATTTTTTCCTTATTGTATTGCAATTAACTTGCATGAAATTATTTTGTTAATTTAGGGTTAATTCAGTCAGGTTTCAGTAAGAAGACTTGTTGAGATTCAAAATAGTAAAATACATCTGGACCTGGTTCCTCTTTTGACCCTATTCTTTGACGGTGTTTGAGGTTTTAGTCCTTACCATGGGATTAATTTTTTCACCAAATTTAAAACCCGTGGTTCCTTAATCATGCAAGCTGTGTGTGGAATCATTCTACCTGCCTAGGACGAGTTATTTGGTACATCAATTCAACTTTAGCAATTTTCTTATGTTATCAGCTAATTGTTATTGTTCACTCCTCGGAACAGGTCAGGTTGGTGCTATTCAATTGGGCATCAGCCGGTCACTGCAAAACTGGGCATCAGATTTACGTCCTCGTTTGAGAGAAGGTACATTTCCTTGGAGTAATGTTATCTTTATTAATTGGTTTCTTCACCTTGCTGCTTCTTCCACCTTACAATGGGGAAAGACTAGATTTTTGAAATATTCTTCACCAAATCTGAATTTTTTTAAGGAGTACAATCATGCATGTACTGAGCTTGAAAACATGATGATTAAATCAAAAGTAATCTATTATTTTGTTCGTATAGTTGTACGTCAAATGTGTGTTCTATTGCGACCTGAAACATTGCCTTCTTGCATTTCACGTTTTGTTATATGTCTAATTTGGAGCTTTTGACCTTAGTTGCCATTTTTAGGTGGTTTAGTTGTCATTTTTAGGTGATTTTTGTTGACACGGGATTCGAGGGTTGTTGAAAGGAAAAAGCCCGGAAAAGCAAAAACAAGAAAGAAATTCCAGTGGGTCAAGCGTTAGAGCAAGTCTTGCCTGTGTCACGACTCTTGAAAGGTTGCAGGATATGGATGCTAAGGCTTCTATAGAAACTGAGGTATCATCCTGTCGCAGATTGGATTTTGACAAGGTAGATCAAATTACCAATGATGAGGTTTCCACTCCACCAGTTTTAAATGTGATAAAGGATATAAATAAAATTCATACATTGATTCCTTTTGACCTAATTCCGAAGATGGGCATGGAATTTGAGAGTGAAGAAGATGCTTATAATTTTTACTTAGCATATGCAAAGGAAGTTGGTTTTGGAATCAAAAGAAGTAGCTTCCACAAAGATAGTAATGGTAAGCTCATGGATAGGGTCTTTTGTTGTAGTGCTGAAGGAAAACGAGAAAAGGATAAAAGAGATCTCAATGTAAGAGCCCCTCGTCCTGAAACACGATTTAATTGTTCGGCGAAGATGAAGGTTAACAGTAGACAAACTGGTAAGTTTCGTATATGTCAGTTGATCATTGAGCATAATCACTATCTTTCAAGTCCCAACAAAAGTCATTTACACAGATCACATAGAAAGATAAATTCTATTCATGCAGCTGAAATTGATATGGCATACCATGTGGGTATAGCACCAAAAGTTTCTCATGAACTTATGGCACTACAAGTAGGAGGACGGGAGAACTTAGGTTTCATTCCTGAGGATTATAGGAATTATTTACGTTCTAAACGAACAATACAAATGGAAGTTGGAGATACAGGAGGCGTACTTGAATATTTGCAAAAAATGCAATTAGAGGATCCTAATTTCTTCTATGCAATTCAAGTGGATCAGGATGATTTGATTACAAATATTTTTTGGACTGACGGATTAATGAGAGCAGATTATGCAAGTTTTGGAGATGTTGTTTGTTTTGACACGACGTATAGAAAGAATAATGAAGGCCGTCCATTTGCATTATTTGTTGGAGTGAATAATCATAAACAGACTGCAATATTTGGGGCTGCTTTATTATATGATGAAACTGCTTCAACATTTGAGTGGTTGTTTGACACTTTTGCGAGAGCAATGTCAGGAAAAAAACCAAATACTATACTTACGGATCAGGACGCAGCAATGGCTAAAGGACTAATTTCTACATGGCCTGAAACACGTCACCGTCTTTGCATATGGCATATATTTCAAAATGCAGCTATTCATCTCAGTCATGTGTTCGAAAGTTTTAAACAATTTGCAAATGATTTCAGTAAATGTGTATATGATTTTGATGAAGAAGAAGACTTTATATCTGAATGGAATACTATGTTGAAGAAGTATGGTCTTGAAGACAATGATTGGTTAAAACGTATGTTTGAGATTAAAGAAAAATGGGCATTGGTGTATGGAAGGGAAACATTTTGTGCAGATATGACAACAACTCAAAGGAGCGAAAGCATGAATAGTGTGATAAAAAGGTATGTAACCTACAAGAATAAATTTCATGAGTTTTTCAATCATTTCGGGAGGTTAGTTGATGATCGTACATATAAAGAACTTAAAGCTGACTTTAGAGCATATATGAGTACTCCAGTACTACCATTCGATGTTGATGTTTTGAAACAAGCTGCAAGTGTTTATACTCCTGAAGTATTCAAATGGTTTGAAATTGAGTGGGGTAAATCTTATGATTGTGGTATAATCACCTACAGTGAGGTTGGAACAGTGACAGAATATAAGATCACTCCTAAAGGCAGAAAAAACTATCATATGGTTAGATTTGATTCAATAGGTGATCAGATTTCATGTAGTTGCAAGAAGTTTGAATTCTCTGGGATTTTATGCTCTCATTCTCTGAAAGTTCTTAATATAAGAAATATCATGAAGATCCCTAGTCAATACATAATAAAGAGATGGACCAATAAAGCAAAAGCTGGATATGTTAAAGACCACAATTGTTGCAATATCAATAATGATTTGGATCCGAAAGTGCTTTTTACGAAGCGTTACAGAGATTTGTGTAGACTATATACTCAATTGGTCACAAAAGCTGCTCAAACAGAAGAAACTTATAAAATTGCTAAAGAAGGCCTTTTGAAAATATTGGATTTGGTTGATGCAAGGTTACATCAAGAGAGGTCGAGCAATGAGATGTCAAATGCAACAAAAGTTTCCAACCCCACAAATAACACTACTAATGCAAGTGGTATCAATATCAAGGGTATTAAAAAAAAGATGAAGACTATTTCAGGCAAGAGATTGAAGAGTAGTCTCGAAAAGGCTACTAAGAGAAGAAGATCAACCAAAAAAAGCTTGCAAAATAGTATAACTATGGAGTTACCAGCGTCATCATATAATGAGGTTTTATTACATTATAATTTTACTATATTTGTAATTCAATATTTTCTTATATTATGCATCCAATCTTTGTTTTTTCTTTTCATTAGCCTATAGGAGATACTATAAATATTGTATCTACGAGGTGCAGTATGCAACAGCATGGATTACAAGAGGTAATGATTCGACATTATATGTAAACTAACAATTAAGTATTATTTACTGTCAAACTATTTATAACTGTGTTTATTTATTTTTATTTTTAGGCAAATACAAATGAGGGGAGTATGGTAGAATCTTTACGGTATCAACAAGAAACTTTTATCCAACCATGTTATTCTATGCCAGTAAGTATGATAGAGTCTTTGCAATCTCAACAAAGCAACTTTGTTCAACCATATAATCCTACGCCGGTAATTTTTTAGTTTCTTATTTGCATAAAATCATTTTATAAAAATTTTATGTTTTGGTTTACACTAAAGTTCATGAATATTTTTCACTTTTGTGGTTGATACTTTGTGAATTTGGATGTTAATCAACAAAATTATGGCCAGCTATGCACTTTCAGTTCCATGAACATGACCGGCTTGCTCAAGGTAAATTATTACAGTTGTGATCATGAATAATTACTTCTTTAAGAAAAGATTCTTTATTGTCTTTTTTTATTCATTCATTTATTTATGTGTTCAATTTTTTGGTGATATAATTCTAACCATAGGCACAAGAATTACATGGTTTCGAAGGAGCGAAAATAAATCAGTTCGAGTTGAATGACAAGTCTTGCACTATGGGACAAGAAGTTGGAGTTGATTGCAATGATAGGTGTGGTTGTCCAGTTCCATGCATCAATGATATTTCGTGCAAGTGTTCAAGTGGACAAAAGACCTGAAAATTTGACTGAAATTGACAATGGAACTTTTCGTG